TTTTTTTTTTTTTTTTTTTTTTTTTTTTTTTTTTTTTTTTTGGTAGTAATTCTTTGGGGACTTTTACTGTTACAGGAACTATGTTGACTAGTGTCAGGATACTCCTGTTGAATTTTGGATACCTGTGTTCCATATTTTCATTTTTCAATCCCCACCTCCTTCTCCAATATGTTTATCTAGTGATTAACTTTATCAGTGATTATCTCAAACCTTTTTTCTATCTTAATAGCTCACTTTACATTTATGTCTATTATGTTTCTAATCTATTTGTAATATCCATAATAATGTTGTTCTTGCTCTTTATGAATTCTGTAATCTCCCATTTCTTCTCTTTCTATTCTTTTCTTATTATACTATTTTTAGCCCTTGTTTTATTTGTTAACGTAGTAGATTACCTTCTCATTTCTTTTCACCTTATTCTTGCTTGGTTCATGTTGTCCAGAATTTATCTTTGCTCTAATATATTTACTTCCTGATTCCCTTTCCACTGCCCCTAAGAGGAGCTGACATTTACCATGACCAGGGTAATAGGCATATTCAGTAGGAGACTACCCTGGTCATTATAAAGCCAGTCCCACATGGCTTTCATATGATGCATATCAGCTGCTTCATCTGGAATGCTCCATTTGGAATATTATAGGGAGAGTTGGGCAGTCTCCTCCAGGTAAACGGACCTTACAGTGGTGTTTATCCAGCTCATTAGGCTAGATATTCTTTCTGTGCTTTTGGAATACATATACTTATCAATGGTTTAGCAGTGAGCTGTGGGTTCTTCATCAACCCAAACAAGCTTTTTCATTCTGTAGCATTTAATATTAAAGATATTATCCTTAGTTATTTTTACAATCCATCTAGTAAAGATTTTTCCAAGGGTGATGATACCAATCTACCTAATGAAATCATCCTTTTATATTATACACTCTGTTTTTAATAGTTACTTGATTTTGTCCTTCTCCCACATTGACTATATTTTTGGTAACTACAGGTCTCAGAGGTAACTTTTTTTTTAGACAGAGTCTTGCTCTGTTGCCCAGGCTAGAGTGCAGTGGAGCAGTCTCGGCTCACCACAACCTTTGCCTCCTGGGTTCAAGCGATTCTTCTGCCTCAGCCTCCTGAGTAGCTGGGATTACAAGTGCCCACAACTACACCCAGCTAATTTTTGTATTTTTAGTAGAGATGGGGTTTCACCATCTTGGTCAGGCTGGTCTTGAACTCCTGACCTCAGATGATCCGCCCGCCTTGGCCTCCTAAAGTGCTGGGATTACAGGTGTGAACCACCATGCCCATCCCTCAGAGGTAACTTTTACCTTTAGTGAGCAAATGCAGCCCAGCTGCAGCTCCTTAAGGTGAGCAACCACATGGTCACCCAGGAGTCAAGGTTTCTCATTCCTCATCTTTAATTTTTCTCTTTATACATTTAGTTTTCTCTATACAATTTTTTCCTTCATTTTAAAGTGACTCTTAGTCTCTAAACTAAAAACAAATACACTTTTTAAGCAAAAACCACATCCTTGTGATTTAATGAACTTCACCAAAAACATCTTTCACGCTCCTACTATTTTAACTCTTAGTAATCTAAATTCCCAGTGAAAACAACTTAATTTAACATAACATGATGTAAAAATTTTAAATTACTGGAGAGAATTAATCTTACCAAAGATTACCAAGGTTATGTGAATTAAAAGGCATCTGAGCTAGCTGCAATCAATTTGATAAACACTTACTTTTCTTTAAGTCAATTAATTAGAGATCTTTTCATATAGTTTGATTGTGAAATATCACTTCCACATGACACATAGAAATATACAGACTAAGGCAGTTCTAAAAGATTTTTCATTTGTTTGCTTTCAATAAATAACATATAAACATATAGATATAACAGACATACAGCCTAAGACAGTTCCAAAAGATTTTTTATTTTTTATTTATTTTATTTATTAGAAGCCTACAGCACCTAGTATTTCCAGGAGGTCTCCCATCCAAGTACTAACTAGGCCAGACCCTGCTTAGCTTCCAAGATCAGATGAGATTGGGTGCGTTCAGGGTGGTATGGCTATAGATGTTCCAACAGATTTTTCATTTACTTGCTTACTTTTGATTATTAATTAAAAATATTACATAAACCAACAAAAGGTAAAGGAGAGAGTTACTATCCCAGGCCTTTTCAAAAGAGAGAAAGAGCTAAACTGAGATATCAATCTGAAGAATTTCGAAAAGAAAAAGATTATAGAGTTTGAAAAATTAAAAACTTCATGCATTAAGAGTAAATCAATATTTTACTTTTTTTTTGAGACAGAGTCTTGCTTTATCACTTAGGCTGGAGTGCATCTTGGCTTACTACAACCTCTACCTCCTGGGTTCAAGCAATTCTCATGCCTCAGCCTCCTGAGTAGCTGGGATTACAGACAGACACCACCACACTCAGCTAATATTTGTATTTTTAGCAGAGATGGGGTTTCACTATGTCAGCAAGGCTGGTCTCTGACTCCTGTGACTGCCTGTCTACATCAATTCCTTAAGTCTTTTGACTCTAAATCCCTTAGCCATAGGAGTCCCACTGAGGGATAGGATGGGCCCCAGGCAGATCGCCATGCCACCCTGGCAACATCATGGGACAAAATAAAAATGTGGTAGCCATTGATGTTGCCTCTGGCAAATCTTGGCCAGATGGGGTAGAATGTAAACCAAAACTAAAATTCTAGGGCCCCTTTAGCCAACTGAAAGGAGCCTTCCTCTCCGCCAGAACACTCCAAAGTTAACCTGAAAAACTGGTTCAGGCATGACAGGAACGGAGGGTCAGACATGCCTCATGTCCTCCTCCCTTTTGGAATTCAGGAAAAGCTGACCAGCATTTAACATCATCACAGACCCTAAGTTTGATAAGAAACATTTAAAATCTATTCTTTCTGAAGCCTGCTACCTGGAGGCTTCATCTGCATGAAAAAACTTTGGTCTCCACAACCTTTTATTGTAACCTAGACATTCCTTTCTATTGATAATAACTCTTCTGACCAATTGCCGATTTGAAAAATTGTAAATCTACCTATAAACATGGAAGCGCCTTCCCCCTACCTTTAAGTTGTCCTACCTTTCTGGATTGAATCAATGTATGTCTTTCATGTATTTGATTGATGTCCCACGTCTCCCTAAAACATATAAAACTAGGCTATGCTTAGACCATCATAGGCACACGTTCTCAGGATCTCCTACAGGCTGTGGCATGGAACATTGGTTGGTCACTCATATTTGGCTCAGAGTAAATCTCTTCAAATAGTTTACAGAGTTTGACTCTTTTTATCAACAAGAGTGAGTCCCCTCTGGCTTCAGGTCAGTTCGCGAAATCAGCGTGTTTCCCTGAAAGTGAGCTCATGTCACAGTTAGCTTCCTCTATTGAACCAGTTTCTCCCATCACTCATTCCTACAATAAAAATAGGATGACTCAGTTAGTTTTACTACAAAAGCAATGTACTGGGCATAGAGACAAATTGCAGGCATTTGTTTGACTTGATAGTACCAAAACTTGAAATTTGTACTCTTGAAAAGTCCTCTCTGAGTGTGTTGGCTCATATCTGTAATCCCAACACTTTGGGAGGGTGAGGCAGTTGAATTGCTCGAGCTGAGGAGTTTGGGACCAGCCTAAGTGACATGGAGAAACTCCATCTTTACAAAAAATACAAAAATTAGCCAGGCATGGTGGTGTGCACCTATAGTCCCAGCTGCTCAGGTGGCTGAGGTGGGGGATCACTTGAGCCTGAGAGGTCAAGGTTGCAGGGAGCTGCAATTGCACCACTGCACTCTAGCCTAAGTGACAGCCAGACCCTGTGTCAAAAAAACAAAGTCCTAATATTTCAAATGCTGCTATGATACCTTTGAGCCTCACAGGGTCCTAATGGCCTAACTGTGAGTTCCTCTGCCTTTGCCAGATATTCTCCAGACCCATCAGGAGAGGCTCACCACCTGGCCAGTTCACTTCTTAGCTGGAGCAGTCGCACCCCACCTAGGCCTCAACCCAATGGGAACCAGAGACAGCTTATCCACTTGTTAAAACAAAGCCTGATTCCCACAGCCCTTGCTGGTTCAGCCTACTCTCAAGTGCAGCCCCTGTGTGTCCCTGCACGGCAGGAAGCATCCTCTTTCTCTGAGCTGTTAATGTATTTGACTAACAAATTGCTGTCATTTTCACCTGGTCAGTGTTGGCTGCCACGTGTTTGGCCATCTCATACTACTTGGAGTTGAAGCACTCCTCCTTCACCAGCAGGCTAATAGATGATGAACAGAACAGGAGGGTGAGGAGGCTCACCACACAGCACTGGCCAACTTTGCAGCAGAATTTTGTAGTTTTTTTCTTCTGACCATTTTTATTAAGAGTATGACCTTAAGTGGCACCTGTTTCATTGTTTGGTTTAGTGTGTTTGTTTGATGGATGGTTCCATTACTTAAATGTTGTGGAGAGACAGTTTCGAATTTTTGTTTCAAAATTATAGGCAATCATCTTGTAGAAAAGTACAGAAGGACAATGTACAGGGGTGTTGAGGAGCAGCTGGCACCAATATCATTACTGGACATGAACGATAAATAAGACAGCAAACTTTAAATAAGAATGACCAGCCTGGGCAACACGCTGAAACCTCGTCTCTACTAAAAATACAAAAAATTAGCTGCACCTGGTGGCGCAAGCCTGTAAATTGCTTGAGACAGAGGTTGCAGTCAGCTGAGATCAGTCCGCTACACTTCAGCCTGACAACACAGTGAGACCTTGAGGGAAAAAAAAAAAAAAGAACTCAGTTTCACTATACCATATGATGGCATATGTCTCGTTAGTTTATGATAAAGTGTTATTAGTTTATGATAGGCTAATGTTAGTGCCATCGAAGACAAACTGGAATGACTGAGCTCCAGAACAAATGCATCCCAAAGGACATGTATTTAGAGATGAACTCTACTGCTGAAGATTAAAAAATTGCTTTAGGCAGGGCATGGTATCTCATGCCTGTAATTCTAGCACTTTGAGAGGCTGAGGTGGGAAGATTTCCTGAAGCCAGGAGTTTGAGACCAGCCTGGGCAGCATACCAAAACCTCATTTCTATGAAAAATTAAAAAATTAGTCAGGTGTAGTGGCACGTGCATGTGTGCCAGCGACTTGGGATGCTGAGGTGGGAGGATTGCTTGAGCCCAGGAGATCGAGGTTGCAGTGAACTGTGATAGCACCATTGCCTTCCAGCTTGGGAAACAGAGCAAGACCCTGTCTCAAAACAAAAATTGCTTTACAATGTCTTGCTTTCTGCTTCTGGAATACTCTTCAGGATCTATCTTCACATGGATCTCTGTAAGATACAATGACTTTTATTATAAATGCATTTTCTCTCTGCAGACTCCCTTAATTTGGCAATTGCAAACACTGCTATCTTTTTACCTGTAAGTAAAAAATAATCTGCTAGTCCATATGTTTGATCTTGAGTCTGACAAATTTGTAAAGTGCCATGCACATCTGCCTCTGTGCTAACTGAATCATCTACATGGCATGACCTACTTTTACTGCTGACCTTTTTTTTTTTTCTTTTTAGGCAGAGTCTCGCTCCGTTGCCCAGGCTGGAGTGCAATGGCACAATCTAGGCTTACTGCAACCTCCGCCTCCTGGGTTCAAGTGATTCTTGTGCCTCAGCCTCCCAAGTAACTGGGATTACAAGCATGCACCACCATGCCTGGCTAATTTTTGTATGTTTAGTAGAGACAGGGTTTCACCGTGTTGCCCAGGCTGGCCTCGAACTCCTGACTTCAAGTGATCTACCTGCCTCAGCCTCCCAAAGTGCTAGGATTACAGGTGTGAGTCACCATGCTTGGCCAGTGCTGACCATTTTTAAAAGATCACTCTGACATGGCTCTTCTCTCTTTCCTTCCCCTCCTCTTCTGTTGTTTTGTCTTGTTCTGCTTCTCCTTCCTCCTCTCTTTTTCGTGTTTTCTCCATTTTCAGCAGCGTGTTTTGTGCTTTTCCTCTATTATTTTAACTATACCACGTGGCCAATAAACCTTAGAGAATATTCATTTATTCATTCATTCAATGAAGAATAGCTTTTGATTAGCTTCTGTGTCAGAAATCAAGGTAGGGACTAAGTTTATAGAGATGAGAACAACAGAATCAACCTTTAAAATGTTCAAAGTGTCGTAGGGAGACAAAAGAATATCAAAAGTACAATGAGTGCCATAATGAATATATTCAGTGATTTTATGGAGTACAGATGAGGGGCATCTATTACATTAAAATTCACTGAAAAGTGGAATTTAATATCCTTAGGTATTCACAGGAGAGCTTTATCCATTTTGAATCAATAAAATGATCCCATCTTGAGAGAGTCTTTCCAAATGTGCCTCCTGCAGTATGTGACTTCTGTCATGACTTGATAGAGATATCTGTTAAGTAACCTTTTATTTTTAGCGCCTTTTGGACCAATGTAGCATTTATTTTTGTGATGCTGAACTGCATTGCAAGCAAAGAGGGCCAGATACTTTTGTCATTCCTCATCCATGATGTTCCCACATTTCCAGTTAGGGTTGTGATGATAATGTTTATTTATTTATTTAATTTATTTCATTTTTAGATGAAGTCTCACTCCGTCACCCAGGCTGGAGTGCAGCAGCATGATCTCGGCTCACTGTAACCTCAGCCTTCTGGGTTCACACAATTCTTCTGCCTCAGCCTCCTGAGTAGCTGGGATTACAGGCATGAGCCACCATGCCTGGCTAATTTTTTTGTATTTTTAGTAGAAATGGGGTTTCACCATGTTGGTCAGGCTGGTTTCGAACTCCTAACCTCAAGTGATCCACCCGCCTCGGCCTCACAATCCCAAAGTGCTAGGATTTCAGGTGTGAGCCATCGTTCCTGGCCAGATAATGTTTATTGTGTATTGATTTTGATCATTGAATTAAATAATCCTCTCAATAATGAATTATCCTTTGCAGATTTAAATTTCCTTATTACTGAAAATGTAACTTAAATGGATATACCAAGAGCTGAAGCAACCTTGATCTTATAAGGGAAGAATATCTTCATATAATTCTTTTTC